TTCTCCTTCAGGCAGGCGTCTCTGCGCCCACAGCAGGAGCTGGGCAAGGGTCCCCACTGCCTTCTTATCATCTTCCAATGCCAAACCCAGAAGACACACATGGGCCAGGATGGTCCAATGTGTCCAACAGCAAGCTGAGCGCCCAGGGGGCTGATCTGGAAGAGAGCACAGGGATGGTGCCAGGAACCTCCAGAGATCGTCAGGACACTTCTGGACCAACAGGAAGCCCTTACTCTGGGAAGGCCAGGATGGCTTCAGCACCACACCTGGGACAGGTTCTGGCACACCATATACCCAAGCAACCTGACCAGACCAAGGAGGACTCTAGACAGAAGCACTATTCTGCATTAGTAACCTCTTTTTAAACAGAGTCACTTCATAAACGGTTCTGTCTTGGGTTTGCCAGGAGGGTGGTGGCCTAGGTAGGTGATTTGTTACCTGCCTTGCAATGTCTAGGTGGCCCCTCAAGGACAGGGCCAGCGGTGAGCATCAGACTGACCCTCATACACTTGGGTGCAGTGGTCAAGCTTAGGAGCTCACTGTCCCAGGAGTGTCACCATCCACCGCAGGTGACCTAGGCACACGGGCAAACTGGTCAGCCACAGCACTGGCAGAGGCCCAAGGAACACATCCACTGTGCCCACAGCACTGTGAAACCTACCCTGCCTGGGCAAGGTATGGGGTGGAGAGTGTACCCAGGGCTCCAGGCGAAGCCCTAGCAGGACCTCTCTCCCTCAGCTGCCCTTGGGGGCAGAGCCAGCAAAACCAGACTCCTAGAGCTGGAACCTGTTCTGCTGAGCTCTGCCCAGCAGCCCCCACCACGACCCTCTCCAGCAGCACACACCCAGGCCTCTAAGCCTTTGTGGGCTGGGAGCCAGGGTCACGTCCATGCCTGCTCCAACCCTGAGCCAGGCAGTTGGGTTTCATCTGGCTGACAGTGGCGAGAGGGCCTGGGAAGATCTGAAGGCTCCAGGAGGGCATGGAGCAGGGCAAAGGGGCCTGCCAAAGCCACACAAGTGGTTAGCAAGACACTCTGAGCTTCCTCTGGAGGGGAGGGAGAGATTGTTTCCAAGTTACAAAGATTGGATGCAATGGGATTCTCTGCCAAGGAAGGGTGCAGCCCAGGCCCTGGCCAATTTGGGGAGGTGAGGAGAGGCAGAAGCTATGCCAACCCAGCCCCATGGGCAGGTGCCCCAGAGGAGGGGCAAGGGATGGCTCAGCCTTGACCCACGTGTCTGCTGGGCACAGACACCGGACACTGCCCTAGACTACCGGACCCTGACAAGCCCTGCGCGCCCCCGCCCGCAGGGGGCCCACCCCACCCCACCCCACCCACCCGAGCCGCGCGATGTCCTATTAAGGTCATGGGCTCCGGGGTTCAGCGGAGCGCGCCTGCCCCTTTGCTGGGCGCTGACGGCCGGGCTCGAGGCGGGTGACGGGGGACTGTGGTCTGGGCAACGATCGGGATGGCCGGGTGACGCTGACAAGGTGGTCAGCGGCCGGCTGTCAGGCTAGCGGACCTGGCGCGGCCCGAGCGCCAGGGTGGGCGGGCAGGGACTGGTGGCGCCGTACCTTTGTACTTCTCCCGCACCTCCTCGTAGGCCTGGATGAAGTCCTGCTCGTCAGGCAGCGGGCCGGACGTCAGCAGAGCCGCCATGCCGGCCAGCGCGGATTGCGTTGGGCCGCAGAGCGTAGGACCGGCCTCCAGCCCGGGCGGCTGCACTGCCCCCGCGGCCGCGCGCACCGCTTAAAAAGGCCGCCCCCGCCCCGCCCCGCACCCAGGATGCCCCACGGGCGGGGCGGGGCCGTCCGCCGGAGAATCCGCGGGGCAGCTGCACCGGCTCCCGGGCGCCCCTCGGCGGGCTCCAGCCTCGTCCCACGCGCGTCCCGCCGGCGCGCGCCCGACCCCGACCTCTCCAGCTCCCCGGCCCCAGCCGGCGGCTTCACCTGGCCGCCCCCGGCCCCTCCTCGCTCCCGTGCCGTTACTTAGAATTCTCCCATTGCAGCACTGGGGATCGAGTTAGTACCTCTAATATATAAAGAGTCCGTAACACACAACAAGAAAAAAAATTCAAGTGCGCAGAAGAGATCTGAAGTAGGCAATTGACAGAAGGGGGAAAAAAAGCCCTTGTAATTAATCAAAAGGCAATTGTTTTCTATCCATGAAATTGGCAACACTGTCTCCTAGCGTCCTCCTTTCTGGACGCCATCCCCCTCCCCATGCCCCGCCAGCAGAAGCCTCCCCCCTCCAGGAATCAGCCCCTAAGAGAATCGCCAGAGGGCAACAGAGTGGCTAGAGGCAGTGGACAATGAAGACCACCACAGCCAGCTGCACCCCTACCCCACCCATCTTTAAAGGTCCAGGAGTGGGGAAGGGCATTCGTGATTCCAAGTAGGAAAACGACTCCGTTCTTTAAAATCCTACGTGAGATGGAAAGCCCAGAAGGCCAGGCACAACCCAGGGCACCCTGTGAGAGCATGTCCATCGCTCCTATCTGCTCCTCTCCCTCTGCTTCCAACCATAAAGTCCCCATGCCGCATCTGACCTCCAGCCCGATCCCTCCACGCCCTCCACCCTCCCTGCCTTCCAGATGCCTCATCATCTCCTAGTGATGGAATGAGATCAGCACTGCCTTTCCAGCACATCGTGCCCAATGGCCTCCAGTCCTAGGTGACCCACTTCCCAGAGGAACACACTGCCCTCCAGATAGCCACCCTCCAACTGCCCGCTGCCTCCCGCTGTGCCTTCCCTTGGGTCTTTCCCATCCTCCTCCTCAGACTGGCAGCTCCTGGAAGGCAAGGATGGACCCTGGCTCAGGGAGAGGCTGGGGCTCTGGCTGACCCAGCATCCCCTCCGGTCCTACTCCTATGCGCTTCCACCCTCCCTGCAGACAGCCAAGACTAGGGGGCCTGGTGAGAAGTTTGACCCTGGTAGCGTAAGAAATTACCACCATCACATCTGGACACTGGAGCCTTGTCAAGAAGTCACTAACCGAGGGGTGCAGGAAAAAGCCGACCTCAGCCCTCCCGCAGCTGCCTGGGCCGGGCCAGCAGGTGGCGCTGTGCTGCCTACCTCACCTGGGACAGGAAGGGCCCTCTCTAATGGCAGATCCCCTCTGGCCTCTCATCGACTCCCAACACCTGCACACAGCACACAGCAGGTGCGCAATCAACATTCCTGAGCTAATGAGGCGGGCCACCCAGACCTTCCCCGTTACCTGCAATGCGGATGACAGCCCGTTCCGCCGGGTCCAAGACACTTGCGTTGCCCACAGAGCCACCTCCACTTCGCCTGCTCCGCTGAGTTTTCCCCAGGTTCCAGGGCAGTGTGTCCCCAGGACTGGGAGAGCCACTGCTTCCATTGGAGCCACTTTCAGCCACTGGCCGCACCTCGGAGTCCTCCCCTGACATGGCCTCCTGTAGGGAAAGCAGGAGAGGTCACACCTCTGCCTGTGGGGGAAAGTGAACACTGTACAGACCCACCACCTCCTAACCTCTACGCTGACCCCATCCCAGCCACCTTATCAACCTGGACACTGATACCACACCCCTCCTATGCCCTGCTTCACTCACATACTGACCCCAGCCCAAAAGTTGACAACCTCTGCCCATCCACATCTAGCCTCACTGACCACCATTCACTTAGTCACCCAAAATCCGACCACCTCCCCAACACTCCCATCACAGGACACAGACTCCACCCTTCACCTTCACGTGGACACTGGCACGGGCCTCAAGCACACACCCTGTCACGCAGACACTGGCTCCCACCCCCTACATCCCAATCCTGGACTCCCTCTCCTCTAAATCCTCCAGGGGGCAGATCAGCGAGGCCATCAACAAACTGTGACCAGGACCCCCTACTGTCCCGGTCTTCAGAGAAGGACTACCGACCGCACGCCCTGAAGCTGTCTCAGTCTCCAGGATTCCCCATCACCCACCCCACCTCCAGCCCCGCGTAGTCCCACCTCGAGCTCCGCAGCGAAGGCCTATAAATAGCTGAAGCTGCAGCGGCGTGGGCTGCGGGAGCTCGGCTGCGGCAAGGCCTGGGGGAGCCCGGGCCGCCGCTCCAACAGCCCACCCTGCTCACCGCAGGCGCAGCCAGGGCGCACGCATACCCGCGCGCGCACACGCCCCAGCTCCGCGTCCCCAAGAGCACTGGCGTGCGAGAGGTGAATGGGGCTCTGTCTCGGCGGGGGTGGGGTGGCATGGGGGCACAATGTGGGCTCTGTGCTCCGCCCTCAGGCCAAGGGGTGGGGAGAAGACAGCGGGTGCCCGGCCGGGGTCATCCCGCCCCCGTCCCCGCAGCCTGCCTCTGCGCCGGCTCCCCCCGCACCCCCGCCCGTCCAGAGCCCCGTGCCTCCGCAGCAGCCTTTTCTACCCACACTCCGGGCACCTCCCGTCCGGTTCCGCAATCTCTGGAGCGCTGGCTGGTGCTGTCCTCCCCACAGAGCTCAGGATGGACTAACAACGCAGCCCTAGTTCCGGGTGGCCTGCGGCCGAGACCCCACCCCAAGTCGGCAGCCCCCACACGCCGCGCGCCTCTCCATACCCGACCAGTGCTACGTGCCTGATGACTCCGCTCGCCTTCGCTCGGCCGCCGCAGCCAGACTGCTGGGGCCCGGAGAGCCGCGGAGGCAGCGCAGGCGGGGCGAGCCGGGAGCCCCGCCCCGGTCCCCACCGAGAGCCGCGCTGCGCGGGTTCCACAAGAGCGAGCGAGCGAGCGAGCTACGCCCGCGTGACCGGGGCCGGGGGTCACCGAGGCGGAGGAGCGGGAGCCCACCGCTGCGACTCAGCTGGGTGGCGCCCGCCGCGTGCTCACACCTATGCCGGGCGTGTAGGGAGGGCCGGCGACCCGGGAGACGCGGCTGGCGAGCGTGCGACACCCAAAGCAGCGTGCACTCGCTGGAGTGCGAGAGGTCCCTCCCCACACACAGCCCCCCAGCAGCCGACCCCGCCCCCAGCCCACCGAGGTCCCCCACTCCCCAAACAAAAGTCGGATTCAGAGCGGCAGCGGGCCCTTCCGCCTGGCTTCCCGTACAGGTTTATTCAGACAGCCGCGCTGGGGCGCAGTGCAGCCAGGACGGGTGTGTCCGGCCCGCGCACCTCCTGCCGCGCTCGGCTGACCCCTGCTGGTGGGGCCCGCCCGGCCCTCCTCGTCCGCTCTCCCGCAAGAGGCGTCCCCAGGGACAGCTCTGGCTCCAAGGAGCCGTGCAGAAGGGGGGACCTGAGGAGCTGGCCTCTGGGGTCAGGTGGCCGGGGAGGAGTCCAAGAGCTCAGGGGGACCCCCAGGGGAAGCATGGAGAATGCGCTCGCAGGTGATGAGATGTGTGGGCAGCGCCTGGGTGTCGTGAAAGATGACGAAGATATTGGGCTCGTGGAGGCGGTCCACGGCGCTGTCGTAGCGCAGCACGTGGCCAGGGGCCCGCAGAGGAGGCACCCGCAGACCGCTGCGACCCTGCCCGTAGTCGCCAGTCAGCACCCGAGCCACGAACACCGCCTTGTGGCCGTCAGCGTCCGGGGGCGAGTAGCGGTCCAGCACCGACAGGGAGGCGCGCTTGGCGAAGTACACACCTCGCCCGTAGAGCGTGCCTGCAGGGCGGGCGGGATGGCAGAGGTCAGGGTGGGCACAGCCCCCGCCCCCGCCCCTGCCCCGGCCCTGCCCAGGCCTCACCGTTGCGGCCGCAGAAGCTACGGTTGAAGCCGTGCTCGCAGATGTCAGGCACTGCGGACGCCGACGTCCCGTGGTACAGGACCCGCTCCACCGGGCGCTGCGTGCAGCGTTGCATCAGGCGCTGGAGATGCAGCTGGTACTGCTGCTGCAGCAGCGGATGCGACACGCGCTCCACCTGCCAAGTACGCGTGGGAGTCAGGGCCCAGACACTGGGGTCCCTCTCTGTGCCAGTGGGCTGGCCCAGGACAGAGCTGAGCTCAGCAGTCAGGACTTCTCTAGTGGATAGAGGGGTTTAAGATCTGAGGGAGAACTTGCAGCCCCCAACATGCTTTGTCTAGTGGCAGACATTAGCCACCTGTATAGGAAAGGTGACATTGGAGGGCTGACTTCCAGGGAAGCCTGACCCCTCTAAGGCCTCATCGTCCCCTCTCCCCCCACACACCCCTTCCCTCCTTCCCCACAGGTGGGTAAATTCATCCACCAGAACTCGGGGAATTCTGCAGTGGAAAACCAAGTCAGGTGCCTACACTGCCCTGAGGACTTCAATCTCAACACAAAGATATGTCCATAGACCTCTCAGTGCAGGAAGACCCAGCGGAGACAGAGGCCTAGGTGACCAACCCCACATCAGGAGCAAACTCAGGAACCCAAACAGACCTTTTAAAAAAGTTCTAATTAGTCTTTTCAGAGGGAAGCAAAAGAGTACCACGTCCATGAAACAAAAGACCAGCTGCTGTGAACGAGTCTGAGCATACTAAGAAAGGACCGTTCAGCTAGGGACACAGCTCAGTGGTAAGTGCTTGCCCAGTAAGTGGGTTGAGTCCCCAGCACTGGAAAAAAAAGGGAAAAAGAGGATTGCTGAGCTAAACCCTGCGGCTGGCCCAGATAATGAAATGGTTGAAGCTGAAGACCCAGCTAGACGGTCTAGTGGAGGTGGGAACTGATGCAGAGAACACAGATAAAGGAAAAGAGATGGAAGCCACACAAGGACAGATGGGAGAGGGAGGCAGGAGAAGGCCGTCTAACCTGTACATCACAAGAACTCCACAAGAAGACAACAGACAGGGATGGGCATCTGGGGACACTGGAAGATGGACTCCCTGAGCTGAAGGCAGCAACTCCAGATGAAGAAGACAATGAAATGTCAAGGACAGTGGGAAAGCCATGCCCCTGGCACATATCTAATGGAAAAACCTCAACCCTCAAAGTGAAAAAAAACCTTACAAGGGCACATACACACAAACAACACCCCAAGGTGAGTACACAAATGGGAAGAAAGCTCACAATGGGTTTCTCACTACCAGTACTGGATACTAAAAAGTCACAGAGAGATTTTTTTAACTTTCTAAGAAAAAAAAATTTAAGGAAGAAGGAAAAGAGCCACATGTTCAAAAATCTGAAGAAAAATACATTTTGAACCTGAACACCATATATCTCAGCAAAGCTATTAATGAAGACAAATAAGGATATCTTATCACATGAAAGAACACAGTTTATATCAATAGCAAGTTAGAGTTTTAAGCAGTTTTTTTTTTTTTGGCAGTACTGAGGTTTGAACTTGAGCATCATGCTTACTAGGCAGGTGCTCTACCACTTGAGCCACTCTGCCAGCACAAATTAGAGTTTTTAAACACCTGTAATTATAAAATCAATATAAGCCCTGCACCAGTGGCTCACTCCTATAATCCTTAGCTGATCAGGAGGATCAAGGTTTGAAGCCAGCCCTGAACAAATAATTCACAAGACCCTATCTCAAAAAAAACCCAACACAAAAAAAAGTGCAGTCAGAGTGTCTCAAGTGATAGAGCACCTGTCTGGAGAGCGTGGTGAGGCCCTGAATTCAAACCCCAGTACAACCCCCCCCAAAAAAACACAATACAAACTTAAAAGTCAAAGATGTTCACTGTGTATTCAAGAGATGTTCCTCAACAGCAGAGTCTATGCAGGAGGGTAACAAGGGGACAAGGAACCCTAGAAGCCAAGCATGAAATAGAAAAAAAATGAAGAAAGTAAAAAATTACAAGAGCCCTTAGGCCTTGAATCCCAGAATATCCTCTTCCATGTAACACAGTTTTCATAACTAGAATTTAATTTACCCCACTATGGTTCAAGGGTAAGTATTTTTTCATTTTCATAGTCTGTCTGTCAACCTACAGCCCAAGCAAGGACGATATAACATGAAGTTTGTTTATGAGTCTTCACTACATGATAAAAATAATGTAACTGACTGGATAGTGAGGTGGAAGAGAGAGGAGGAGATGAAAGAGAAGAGAGGGAGACCCATTCTCCTCTTCCATGAAGGCAGGCAAAAAACTGTCTAATCAGATGGGAAAAACCTCAAATGTGCCATCTAAAGTCATAAAGGTGCTCACTAGAAGAACCAAGTAAGAGTTTATAAAACACAGAACGAGCAGGTTATGACCACAGCACTTTTGGGTGGTGACAGTGATGGTGATAGCGATGACAGTGGTGGCGGTGGCGTGGGGTGACGTCCTGATGTGCTGGAGCCGGGTGGTGACTCTCCTAACCTTTGGGGAAGACCAGAAGTTCTGCATTTCTGACTAGCTCTAGGTGGAGACTGATGCTGCTGGCCCACTCACAACTTTGAGCATCAAGAGTGGAGTGTGCCCTTCCTAGCCTCACTAGCACACTGACCGCAACACTCCTCTGTCCTCCCCATCTATGGCCATCTCTCTTTGTGGATTTCTCCCTCAGTTATGAGCACACGGAGTCTTCTGGGCAGAAGAGTTGTCTTCCACTCTGCACTGCCCTCAAGCTCCCTCTCTGTTATCGCTCCTTTCCAGCCTATTTCCATGGCTATTTCCTATGTTCCTGCCTTCACCTCCTTTTTACTCTTTGCTCCCTCCCCACACTAACTGGACAGCAGGCAGGTTGACCTAAGCAACCCTCTTTAGTCCCTCCTTCAGGCAGGACAGATCCTACAAACTCCATTCTCCTTAGCCCCCGTCCCCTGTGACTGCATGCACTCATGTTTCCTTGGCCTCCCTAGTCCCTCAGCTCTTCTTTCTCCACCTGCCTGGACAGGCTGGGGGGCTCCCAGGGCTTCACTCTGCCTCCCTACCATTGTTCTCAGCCTCTTGCTGGACACACACGTGCACACACTTTTTTTTAGTTTCCAGTGGAGGGAATTGAACCCAGGGACTTGAGCAGACTAGGCAAGTGCTCTACCATTGAGCTACATCCTCAGCCCTGCCCCCCCAAAAAATATACACACTTGCACACATACAGAAAGAAGCTGCTATGCTGCAGTGAGCCCTAGCCTTTTCCCTGCTGAAGAGGTCTGTTGGAGACAGTTGAGTCCCCCAGAACAGGGCAATGTATGTAATGGCAGTAATAAGTAGTCCTCACAGTGACCACAAGATGGCGCCTTGACTCCATGCTCCAGACAAGGAAACTGAGGCACAGAGAGGGTCACCTTGTTCCTGGGAGAGAACCTCACTCAGCTCTGTCAGATCCCAAGCCCCCAGCCTCTTGTGTCTCTGCCACCCAGATTTTGTGAACGCCCTCTGGGCAGGGAACAGGGCTGGGGAGCTTTCAGCTGTGTTGAGTAGTTTCCAGCCAACTGACCCTAATACATGCAAGAGTGACAGCCCACAGGAAGCCAGAAGGCCAGGGTGACCAGGCGTAGACTCACCCGGATGATGCGGATTCTGCTGTGGACAGCATCCAGGGTGCTGTAGAAGGCCTGCACCACTTCCTGGAACTCCCTGGTGTTCTCTGCCAAGCCCTCCAGACTACCCAAGGGTCCTTGTAGCTTCTGCTCTGGCACTGTCATGGGGGCAAGAGGGCAATCAGAGCCAGGCCTCGGGCACTGACCCTATAGCCAGCCCACTCCACCCTCTCCCAGTCCAAGGCACAGACTCACCGGTGGTGTCTGAAGTCACCAATGGAGAAGCCAAACTCTGATCCCACGGGCCAGCAAACAGTGCGGATAAGTGGTGAGCCGCCCGGGCAGGCTGAATCCCAAAGCCACGGATGATGGGGCAGTCACCACGCAGGACAATATTCACACCATAGCACTGCTCCAGGCGAGTACAAAGTTCTGTGGGCAGCACACGGCCTTGGAGTCTCACTGTCTCCTCCTTAAGGTGTACCTCCAAGGCAGCCACTAGTGCCTGCTCCAATTCATCCATATTCTGCTCAAAGGGTGCATGTACCACCAGCTGGGCCTTGCCACTAGTCCCCCCATCCAGAAGCTCTTCTGACTCCAACAGGGGCTGCTCCAACAGGGAGAGGGCCAGGGCTTGCCTTAGTGCAACAGCCTCCTGCTCAGCCACCTGGCCTTGAAGCGCCAGTGACCGGTGGAGGGCCAGCTGTAGCTCAGCTTCCTCATTTAACCGCCCAGGTGCTCCAGTGATGGGGGTCACAGGATCCTCCTCAGCTCCAGGGGTAGGCTTTTCTTCTTCCTGCCCTGGAGTGTCCTCTTCCTCTGACTGCTCCTCAGGCCTCTCCTCCCTCGGCTCCAGAGGATGCCAGGACTCCCCGTCTAGGCCCTCCAGGGTGGCCAGAAGCTTTTGGATCTCCTCTGGAGGCAAGAAGAAGCCAGAGGTCAGAAGTCAGGCCCAGCCAGGGCGGTACCAAATGGTAGGATGAATTGGAATGGATTAAAGATGGAGAGTGAATTTGGGGGCACAAGATGAACCTAGGAAGGATCACTAGACAGGCAGGAGTGCAGAATAGGAGAGGATGTGGGCCTACAGAGAGTCCTACCCATGTTCACATCCTCCTGATCACTGCCTGTACTGTCTGGAGGCCATGAGGTGTGGCTGTCACCAGGGAAGACCTGGAGGGCCTCTGTGGGATCCACCTGCAAGGAAGGTACATCAGGCTATGGCCTCTGGGAGAGGATAGAAGAGGCACCAAGGCCTGGGGTGTAAGAAAGGAGAGAGGTGGTGCAAAACTCCAACTGTACCTCTTCAGGGTCCATGTCCAGGATGGCACCCTCCAGGCGCTCTGTCCCAAAGACGCATTGGAACCGAGCCTCCAGCTCCTGGAGAAGGTGCTGCCCCTCTGAACCTAGCAGGAACCTGGCGCTGCCTGGATGTCCCAGGCTTAGCACATGGCAGCTAATGCTGCCCAGCAGACTCTGCAGCAACTCCATGGCTGCCTGGCACTGGGCCAGGGCTCCGCAGAGCTGAAGGACCATGGGGGTAGGGATAGTTTGCAGGTTCCAAGCACAGGAAAGGTACCCAGAGCTCGTGAGAGGAGGAGTAAAGTGAGGGATTCCACGGGGTAACTCACCCGAAAGCCAGTCGTATCTGTCCCTTCAAGTGGGAAGAGGGCAATGTCTCCCAGACTGGCAAGGAGGTCCTCATGATAAAGCTGCAGGAAGCGCATTGCCCCCGGCTCCGTGGGCAGTACCATCTCCACAAGGTCCTCCTGCCCCAGCAGTTCCACATCCCCAGGGCTCTCCAGCTTGACCTTCTCTGGAGATTCCACGGCGATCCCCATGGAACCCACTAGTCCCTCCTCCCCTGGTGAGCTGATGGCAGCTTCCACCAGGCCCTCCTGCCCTACAGATCCTGGGCTGCCTACCTGCCCAGGCAACTCTGAAAAGCTCCCCACTGGGCCCACTGGGCCTGCAGATCCTATGGGCTCCTGGCTTGAGAGCCTAGCCTGCTCTGGAGACACAGTTGCCTCCTCTGGTGAAATCCCTGGGATTATGGGTTCCTCCTGATCCGGTGACCCCACAGGACCTGTCAGAGAGGCTCCCAATTGCTCTGGTGCCTCCCCAGAGCCCACAGTCACAGTCTCTGTACTCCTATGGGTCTCTGCCAGGCCCCAGCCTCCAGGAGAGCATTCTTAGTGGCCCCAGGCCCCAGTGTGTCTGGGTGATCCCCTCCACTGGCGTCCTCAACAAGCTCCTCTGGCTCCAAGACCTCGTAGTGAGGGACAAGGCTCAGCTTGGAGTCCTGCAGCCAGTGATCCCGCAGAAGCACTCGTTCAGCCACTTAAAGGGAGAGGACAGAAAGCCCGTCAGGTTCCTCTGGGTGGAAGGGTCCCACTGGGTCCCCCCAGCTCACTCACGAGGACACCTCACCCTGCCACTGCTGGAAGGAGACAACAATGCCCAGCTTCCTGGGCAGGCTGCGCAGGCCCTCCAGGGCCCCGCCACCACTGCGGCGTTCATTCTCCAGGTACAGCTCCAGCAGCATCAAGTCCACAGGGCAGGTGTCCACCACACGCACTGCTCGGGCCTGGGGCACCCAGGCCAAGGACACTGAGGCCCCATCCAGCCTCAGATTCCTGGCCTGCTCCTCCAGAACATGGACTTCTGTGGGAGGAGTGCAAGTCAGCTCAGGATCTTCCCCTAACTAACACCTCAGCCCCAACCCTGCCTCTCACCCGCCTCAGACAGGGGCGTGGGCAGCTGGACTAGGACGCGGTCCTGCCGGGGGCTGTCCAGGGCGTGGCAGGCCTGTACTGGGTGCCCTAGGGTACACAGCAGGGCCTGGACGTGCTGCTCCAGACGCAGAGGTGCAGTGCCAGGCAGTAGTCCTTGGAGGAGCAGGCGTGCAGGGGCACGAGGTGGGGCTGGCCGCAGGCTCAGCTGGGCACCATGTAGCTGGTGCTTTGCCTGGTCCAAGACCCCTGCTGCATCTGCAAGCAAGGGAGGGGCATCAGGGCTGTCAAGGTATCAGGGCACCCAGGCTGCCCCTTGACCCAGCCCTCTCACCTGCAGGGTCTTGAAAGGTGAGGATACCCCCAGAGCCAAGTCTGTGCCAGCTGAGCACAGGCCCCCCACCAGAGCGACGGCGGTTCTCAAAGTAGAGTGTGAGCAGCTCATCTGGTATGTCAGGGGACAGTCCCTGGAGCTCCACGGCAGCTCCTGCCTTCTCCTCCATAATCACAACCCTGAGATGGAACAGATGGATAGAGGCCCGCTCCACTCCTGCCCACCTCCCATGTCCCCTCAGTGCTGTCCCATGTGGGCAACCCCTTGTCCCACACTTATACTTGCCCCTACCACTGAAGCCTTCAGCCAAGACTCCTGTGTTTGGCCTACTGCAGAAGGCCTGTGACAGGAAAATAAAAGTGAAACCAACTGGGGGAAGGAAGGGTGGGGCCAGGCTTGGGGCTGGTCCTCTTCTCCTGCTACAGCCTCAACCCAGCCCACAGAAGACTCCTCAGGACCCTCCCACCAGCCCAGCCTCCATCCCCTGGGACCCACTCTAGTCCCTGGCTGGCAGAGTGAACTGGATGTCCTCTGGCAGTTGTCCACTTTCCTGGCTTTTCCCTGTGGCCTAGAAATGGCCAATCACAGGCTGGAGGTGTGGCTCAAGTGAGAAAGCGCTTGCCTACCAAGTTCAAAGTTCTGAGTTCATACTCCAGTACCCTCTCCAAAACAATGTTCACTCGCCCTTCCCACTAGATTCACCACAGGGCCTAGTCACTGCCCCCACTCAGGGTCTCCAGGCTTCTGTGTTTCCATGTGTCAGCATGAGCAGCACTGGATCTCTAGGCCTGCCCCTGGTTGAGTCTGGCCTTCATCAACCTTTCCCAAACTGGCCCTTCATACCCACCAGGCAAACAGGACTCCCATCTAAGTGACCCAAAAAAGCTAACATCCAAGCACAGCTCTAGCCACCTCCTCATACCCTGCTGGGGGGTATCTTCTGTGGCTCTCTTCTGCCCTCACACCTGCCCAGTCCTTTCCACCGACAGTATCTTCCTCATCATCACTGTACTCATCATGACTAACCATGGAAGGAAGATGCTGTCACTGTGCTAGCATGCCTTGCTGCCACTAATTCTCACCACAGTAGGGGAAATGGAGGCACAGCCAGGGCCCAGAGCAGTGCCAGGCCATACCCAGTCTGTCTTTATAATGTACCCTCCCATACCAACCAATCCCACCCCATTGTCCCAGCCTGTTTGCTTTCGCCCTCTCCAAGACTGTGCCTACTGCTGTCCTCTACCCCCACCTCCAGTCACACTCCCGCTGTTCCTCCCTAGGAGCCAAGGCTCCTGCCCAGCCTGTGCCTCCAGCCCTGCAACCCTGGCAGGAGTGAAAGTCCTCCAATGATCAGAGCCTCCAGCATTTCTTCCTGGATGGCTCCCTAGCCTCTTACCACTCCTTACCACTTCCACTCACCCTCACAGTGGATATTCCACAGAGCAGGCATGATGAACCTTACAAAGTGATACCAATGACTACCCTCTCTGGATCAATGACAGTAAAAGTTAAAGTCCTTTTGAGGCCTCACAGGCTCCAGTCCTCTCCTTGGCCCCATACCCCCTCCAGCTCCCATGCATATCCTGATGCTCTGTAGGCTCCAGCCTCTCTGGCCTCTGAGTTCTTCCTGGCCACTCCAGCCTCAGCACCCCTGCACTGGCCTTTCACTCAAAGTGGCCTGGCCTTCCCCACATCGCCGCATGGCCATCTCTTCTTCATGATCCCCACTACCTGCCCTTAGTGGCAGATTCAACATGAAGCTAAAAGCTTCAAAGGACCTCAGACTTGCCCAGGCCCCTTCTGAAGCCCTGTGGTCAACCTTGGTATTCTCCTCTTTGTCATTTTATTTGCCTTCATATGAACTTCTGGTTCTACAGTGTCTCAGTCCGTCCAACCTGCTCTATATTTTCTCCTCACAGGACTCACCTTCTATCACACCGTACTTTACTTATTATGCCAATCCTGGCTGCAGAGGGCCTGCCACAGGCAGTAGTGCAACTCACACCGATGTTACAGCTCCAGGAGTTTCTGAGCTGGTAGTTTGAAATCAACCAGGGTGGGAACATTCATGCTAGGAGTATATGTAAAGCTACAGATCAGCGCTTCCCCTCCCTCCATCCAGCTGTTAAACAAAAATGCCCACATCAGTCGGGAGCTGGTGGCTCATGCCCGTAATCCTAGCTATTCAGAAGGCTGAGATCTGGAGGATTGCAGTTCAAGGCCAGCCCGGGGAAATAGTTTGGAAGACCCCCATCTCCAAAATAACCAGTCCAACATAGACTGGAAGTGTGGCTCAAGTGGTACAGTGCCTGCTTTGCAAGCATGAAGCACTGAGTTCAAATCCCAGTCTCTCTCTCTCTCTCTCTCTCACAGACACACACACACACATCACCATACTATGGGCAGGAGAGAGCCTTTTCCCAACTGCTGGAAAAGGCCAGCTGCCCAAGAGCCAAGCACTGGCAGGTGTTCAAGGCCCAGGTGACCAGAGCGCCACCCAGGAGGCACATGCTGGCCGCAGTCAGCACTCCCTTGGGAGGACTTCCAGAGCAGAAGCAGGGAGAGAATGTGCCCTCCAGCCCTGTAAACCTCAGCATGAGAATATGAACACAAGTGACAAGAGGCCTAATGTGGCGCCTGGCAGTTTGGTCTCCACGACTGAGAGAATGACAGCTAAATGATTAGGTCTCTTGGTTTGGAATAGACGCGAGTGAAAAGGAGAAGTGAACGCTGTGCTTTAAGGCCAGGAAGGAATGGAGACTCCTTACAGGCTTCTGGAACTCTGGATTTAGGAATTAATTCCTTAACTCCCCAACGAATCAAATTTCCCAGAACAGGTCCGTGCCTGTACAGTGCGGGGAGTGGACCTTTGACCTGATATGCACAAAGCTGCCAGCACGGTGACCTCGCGCCACGAGGACGAGCCGAGCGGTTTTAATCCGCGCGGAAGCCCCCCAGCCCCAGCCCCAGCCCCTGCCCCAGCCCCTGCCCGTCACAAGGTCCACCCGGGCCCCGCCCAGTCACGAGGCTCCGCCCCGTCACAAGGCCCGCCCCAGCCCCGCCCCGTCACACGGCCCCGTTGCGTCTCCCCAGCCGCAGGCGCAGGCCCAACGGAGCCGGCCGGCCAGCGGGTGCAGGTGCGGACGCACCGGCCATCACCGCGCGGCCGCGCAGCGGACACCGTGCGCACTGGTCTGCGGCGCCCCGGGAGCGGTGAGTCCCGGTCCCGAGCCCAGGAGTGTGTCACCCACAGCAGCCGTCTGCCCGGCCAGCCACCCCCGCCCGGGCCTTGCGCAGCCGAGCGCGGCCGCCTTCGGTCGGTCAGTCGGTCCGGCCAGGGTGCGCAGACAGCTCGGCCTGGGATGGCGACGGCGGTGGGGGTGGGGAGCCGCGGCGGCCCGGAACAGGAGGAGAGAGGGGGCGGCGCGATGCGGCGGGGCAGGACCCGAGGTCCAGCGCCCCCCGACCCGGTGGGAGGGCCCACCCACCCTCGGCGCGCGTTCTGTGACAGCCACCCCCCACCCCCGTCACCCCCACTCCTGCTTTGTTCCCCCGCACGCCCTCCAGTCGTTTCCATCCCCCACACACCCCCGCACCCCGCTGTTCCTGGCGTACCCCACGGGCAGACACCCTAGCAGCCAATCCAGGCCTGCTCCCCGCCCGGGAGCGAAGGACCGTCGGCCCGGCGCTCGCTCGGGAGGAGAGTCAAAGCTCGCGTTGGTCACAGATGGCGTGGGGATTTCCTAGGATAGAAATAGCCGCTAGCTCTGGCCCCTTCAAGCTGCTTAGAGGGCGGGATGCGACAGGGAGGGCCTGGGCACACCCCCACGCTCCCCAACCGCGCCCCTAGCCCCTTGAGCTGCGCTCTAACCCGGCGGGCGGGGGGGACGGCGGCCGTGAGAAGGCTCCTCCAAAGCCCTGAATCTGGAGACTGACAGCCATCCCTTCCCTCCCTCCCCTTCTCTCCCTCCCCCTCCCTGGACCCTCCCCCACCTCAAAAATCAGCCTAAAGCAGCACTTTCCAAGGGCTGAAGCTGGGCCCACACTATGCCACCCGTTTCTCCCGGTCTCCTTGTTGGGCTTCTCACATCCCCGGATAAAGGTCATGATCCCCTTTCTCCTGGGTTCCCGAGAGCAGGTGGGGCTGCCACAAACCTGGTTCCTGTGGCAGCCAGGTAAGCATAACTGTTCTCTTTTTCTCCTCTAGGGGCAGCCGGCAGCACCTGAGGCCATGTCCCACGAAAAGAGTTTCTTGGTGTCGGGGGACAGCTACCCTCCCCACAACCCTGGCTATCCTGGAGGGCCCCAGCCTCCTATGCCTCCTTATGCTCAGGCTCCCTACCCTGGGGCCCCATACCCACAGCCCCCTTTTCAGCCTTCTCCATATGGTCAGCCAGGGTATCCCCATGGCCCCAGCCCCTACCCCCAAGGGGGCTACCCTCAGGGCCCCTATCCCCAAGGGGGCTACCCACAGGGGCCATACCCGCAGAGCCCCTTCCCCCCCAACCCCTATGGACAACCGCAGCCCTTCCCGGGACAGGACCCTGACTGTGAGTGCAGGGAAGGGGAGCAGGGGTGGAGCACAGCTACCCCTGAGAAGCACTGACCAGTCTGTGTGCCCACAGCACCACAGCATGGGAACTATCACGAGGAGGGACCCCCATCCTACTATGACAACCCGGACTTCCCTGCCACCAACTGGGATGACAAGAGCATCCGGCAGGCCTTCATCCGGAAGGTGGGCTTGGGAAAGTGGTGTGGGGGGGGGGCTGGGAGCAGCTGGAGCAGAGCTCTGACTCCCTCCCTCCCAGGTGTTCCTGGTGCTGACTGTGCAGCTGTCAGTGACCCTATCGACAGTGGCCGTGTTCACTTTTGTCACGGAGGTCAAGGGCTTTGTCCGGGAGAACGTCTGGACCTACTATGTCTCCTATGCTGTCTTCTTCATCTCCCTCATTGTTCTCAGCTGTTGTGGGGACTTCCGGCGAAAGCACCCCTGGAACCTCGTTGCACTGGTAACCCCCAAACCTGAGAGCAGGCCCCACGGGCCCATAGAGCAGGGAGGTAGGATGCAGGATGGGGCAAGGAGCAGCTCCAACGCCCTGGGCCTGGTGTCGTCCTTGTCTCCCACAGTCCATCCTGACCGTCAGTCTTTCCTACATGGTGGGCATGATTGCCAGTTTCTACAACACTGAGGCAGTCATCATGGCGGTGGGCATTACCACGGCCGTCTGCTTCACAGTGGTCATCTTCTCCATGCAGGTGAGGGGTCCCCCTGAGGCAGGGCTGTGGCTCTGGGGCCCAGAGGCCCTCTCCTCCCAGGGCCTGGCACCCATAGCTTCTGGTTCCTCTCCCATCCTCCCAGACTCGCTATGACTTCACCTCGTGCATGGGTGTGCTCTTGGTGAGCATGGTGGTGCTCTTCATTTTTGCCATCCTCTGCATCTTCATCCGGAACCGCATCCTGGAGATCGTGTATGCCTCGCTGGGTGCCCTGCTCTTCACCTGCGTGAGTGATGGGATGGGAGGCCTTTTGGGGAGGGGAGGTGCTGGGGGGAGATGGGCAGCATCTCTTAACACTGCCATGCTTTTGCCCTCAGTTCCTGGCAGTAGACACCCAGCTGCTGCTGGGGAACAAGCAGCTGTCCCTGAGCCCAGAGGAGTATGTGTTTGCAGCACTGAACCTGTACACTGACATCATCAACATCTTCCTGTATATCCTCACCATCATTGGTCGTGCCAAGGAGTAGCCTGAGCCCCCAGCTCACCATGCCCTGCTAGATGGCATGGCTGGCCTGGACCCTACCCATAACATGATTATACCAACTGTACTTTCCTTTCTCTGGTCCCCAGGCACGGCTTGGGGCAGACCGAGCCCCTCTCTGACCCTTGTGTATGTACAGTGCAGATACTTCCGTTTGGACCCACTGTGGCTACGGCATGGCCCCTTTTTGCCCTCCTGCTCCTGCCGAGGGGTGATGGGGCCACATTTCTGTGCCACTTCCTGTCTACTAATTGTTGCATGAGCCCCGTCTGCCAGCCCACCCCAGGGTCTGGGGGCAACACCAGGTCCCAGGGGAGAGGGATTGAGCCAAGAGGTGAGGGTGCACGTCTTCCCTCCTGTCCCAGCTCCCCAGCCTGGCATAGAGAATCCCTTCCCTCCCCATCCTGAAGCACTGCCCTCTGAGGGACATGCGGGTGGGGTTCTCATTCCTGCGCTGAGCCCTGAGAACAGAGGATGGCGTGTTTCAGGAGAGGAGGAGACCTTCCTCTCATGCTACGTCATTAAAATTCCAATAAACGGTACCTTCTCTCTGCTTCTCCTTGTCTCACTTCTCACACTTCCTCCACAAGGTGGGGAGGGCACTGCAGGCACCCCCGGCTGATGAGCACAGGACAGGCACTGACATGGAGATCAGTAAAAGTAGTTAATTCTCTGTAACTCCATCTCCTTCCTTGCCATCTTGCCAGCTGCTTTTGAAGGTGTGTACCGGGATCTTAGCTGATGGAGAGAAATTCTGTGGCTTCAAGATAGGTATGGTGCCAGGTCACATAATCGGAAGTGACCTGGATGCGTCTACCACTCCTTTTGAGAATAGCACAGAGCAGTAGTGCGCTAGGTGAGCCCCTTACCATATCTCTGGGGAACACAGGGCCAGCAGCACAAGTCACTGGCACACCTTTGATAGAGCCGCACAGAGACTGAAGGCTCAGCTAAGGAGGTTCCTTGGCCTCACTGTGGCATATGACAGTGGCATCTGACACCAGCACCTCGGGCCAGGATTCCTTCACAAGTACCCAACCCCCTGGACCCTGGGCTGTGTGTCCACAAGTCAGCCAAGCTGTCTGAATCCTCACCCTCCCTCACCTTAATAACCAGAGCCTAGCTCTAAGTCCCCCTGAATTCCTGAGTTCCAGGGCCAAGCCAGCCTTGGCCACTGTGGCCCTTCTCCCTAGATCTCTGCACCCACTTGGGATGAGAACCTCTCCCAGGCTGCTGTTCCCCACTAGCACGTCGGTGCGGGCACCAATACTTCACAAAGTTGAAAGGACCACACACCATCAGCCACCTAATATCTACAGGCCCCTCAGCTGTGCCCTGCCCAAAACAAGGTACTTGTCCACCAAGCCTGCTGCTCCTGCCTTATCTACACAGACCAGAAGCAGCCGTTCCCCTCCATCCTGCTCTTCCCCACCCAGCCTCCTCTACCTTGTTTAGATCTCCTCATGCCTACCAACCCTCTGCCAGACTGCTGGATATGTACTTCTGACCCCGCTCCCTAAGACCCTATCAGACACCCTCAGGACGAAGTCCACATTCCTTAGCCTACCGTCTGCCCATTGGCTGGTCCAGCTGCGGTCCCACTCTCAGCCCCAGCTCTGAGCTCATACAACCTGAGCCACAAGGAGACTCTACCTGGTAGTACTATCACTATTCTCCGCCCTTCTGCCAGGGCAGAAACATACACTGCCTTCCCAGCTGCCGGGGCGCCCTCCTAGAGTCCACCTCACCCTTTCCAGTAGGTAACCTTAGTGATGTGCTGAGCACCACACAAGTGACAAAACTAGTTGCTCCTTCTGCTATTTCCTTAGGCAGGTCCAGTTCCTCATTCAGGGCACTACTGCAAGTGCTGTAAACATGCAGACTAAAAGAAGAAACCAGCCTAGTACTGGCTCACAGATCCCTCAAGGTTGAGGGAGGGGCTCCCTTGGGAGAGCTAGAGTCTGGAGATGTGAGCTGGGGAACAGGGGATCTGAAGCAAAGATCCTACTACAAGAGAGGGGCCAGAGCTGAACATGGTGAGGACATGGGGCCTGTCTTGTAGGTAAAGGGCACTCAGCAGGAATCACAGGAGGGTTTGTATCAAGAAGATGAGTTCAGAAAGAGAATGTGCAGAGGGCTGAGGACAGGTGAAGAAAGCAGCAAGAAAGCTGTTGTGATGTGCCACACCACAAATAACGCAGTGCAGAGGCATCTGGAAGACAGGTCAATGCGGGAAAGGGGTCAGGCTGAGTGCAGGGCAAGGGAGCCAGGGCATTTCCACCAATGAGAGGCAAGTTCAGCGAGGAGCCCAAGCACCTATGGCTGGGCAGATGATGGGTAGAAGGTGTTCATGTTCATGCATGGAACTAAATGGAACCACAGCAACTGTGAGGTCACCCACCACACTGATTTTCAGGTGAGAAATAAAAGCAGTCCCTGACACCTGGGGAGCTGGCCTGGTCCTATCCAAAAGGACTTGGTGCTGCCTAGGAGCTGGCCTGGCACTCACAGATACAGGCCTTGGTGTTGCTAGGAGCTGGTCTGGCACTCACAGATAGAGGCCTCGGTGTTCTCTAGCTTAAAATATAAACAGTTTTCACAGAACATCAATAGCAGACAAGGCCACTCTGTTACTATGATGGATCAAGACAAAAATAAGACCACTCTGCAATCATGTCTAAACAGAGAAAAACATAGGCATTGTTCAAAAAAGATCAAGCTGCTCCCTGTCCATGCCAGTGCCCCACAGTGTGTACTCATTCTTGTCTCCATGGGCAGTAATCCAACTCTCCCACCATAGGTGTGCCCACAGGAGAACACTGACATCATTAACTGTACTAAGGTAAAGAAGGTGAATTTATTTTTCAATTAAAAACACTGATTTGTATAAGTAATAATTAAATTACTCTTGTTTTCAATATTAAACAATGCTAAAACCCAATCCACCACTTAGTCCAGGGCCTGGCACACCAGTGTCAAACATGGAATGGATGAATGAAGTTACACAAGCACCAACTGCCTCAGGCTCATTTGTGAGAACCATCAGGTAGAAGAAGGAAAGGCTGCATAATAGAGGCACAGGCAGCTGAGTAGGTGAGTTTCAGCCAGGTGCAAATTCCCATAGATGTAAATCTCAAAAGTCTGAAGTGTATTTTTCAGGCAGTGATGACCCCAAAGTGGTTTGAGTGCAGGCAGGAAGATTGGTGGTGACAGTGCAGGCAGGGATGACCTGAACCTATTAGGGTCAGGGGGGAGGTGGGAGGGGAGGGACTGAGGCCTGGTTTCAGCGTTGCAGGCTTTCAAGGTGGCCCCCTCCCTCCTGGAACCCCAATACTGCTTCCCAGGCAGCCAGCCTTTCTGGCATCAAAACACTCCATAGTGTTTCTTGGATGTCTTCTTTGGCTCAGGCTTTCAGACAGTGGTGACCTTTCAGAACACCCAAAATGCAAGTACCCCGTCCCCACTCCAACTTCTCAACCTCCATTTTCTTCACTACTATAGAGTACCTCTTCTCCCTGTGGGCTACCCACCTCATCACCGGGGGTCTCCCCCACTCATTACTGTCTCTTCTAGACCTCCAGGCTCCTGTGCAACTCCTCCCTCTTGCTCTCCCTCACCCCACTCTGGCCAGCTTTTCACTGTTATTCAGCAGCTTCCTGGTTCTAGGAAGACCCTAGTGCCAGGCTCAAAACCAGTCTCTCTATCCCAACTGCCATCATTCAGGTTCTGAATCTGAATGCCTCTCAGATTCATGCCCTGCTCTCAAATCAAGGCTGCGGTGCCTCTGCAGAGGCCCCCAATCTATCCTCAACACCACAGGCAGACAGATCTTTCTGATGAGTATTCAGATAGTCACTCCCTGCTTAAATTCCTTCAGTGGCTCCAGGTAAGACGGTGGACAGAAGTAACCTGAGATCCTGATCCCACTTTCAATTCACAAAATTGCTAGGTAAAATACTGTAAAACATTGAAATATGTACAGCTGAGCAGAGGTGCACACAATAAACATGAAAGAGATCCTGCAACTGTGAGGGAAGAGCTGCAGCGTGTGATTGATAGGAGTTTTACTGAGGGAACTTCCACCTGGGCGCAGGTGTGAACCAGACAGAACCTTAGCAAAACCAAACTCAGGCTCCACCCGCTCTGCCTCAATGGTTGAAGGTAATCAGCCTAACTCTATCTGCCTGGCATAGGACAAGATGAATTCTTTGCAGAACAAGATAACATCATCCAGAATCTCTGCAATTTTTATTCACAATATTTATCATTCATTTAAAAATTACTAGGTAGTTAAAAAAATAGGACTGTCAGACTGAAAACATATAGGAAAAATAAGATGGCTAACAGATCAAAAGGTGACCCAAAGATTTGAGATAGAAAACAAGGCCCTAGCAAGCATGAGGCCCTGAGTTCAAACCCCAGTACTGCCAAAAAATAAATAAATAAATAAAATTAATGTGATTAAAAGATTAAGGAACATACAAGTAGAAATGAAGAAAATGTAGAGAACTGGATTCCATAAAAAGAATTAAATTAGATGCAACACCAATACTTTAGGATTTTGGTCTTGGTGTTTGTTTGAAACTCTGAGGCCTTGATTGTACTGTGACTTCCTGTTAGGTGTATTTTACCAAGTGAAACTTGTCAAATAAATCTTCCTTTTAAAAAGTGAAAAACATGGGGGAGGGGAGAGGTGGCCCAAATAACGCATGCACATGTAAGTAAATGTAAAAACAATAAAACAAAAATTTTAAAAAGACTCAATAAGACAATGAAAAGAAGGTGAAAAAAAAAAAAGAAGAAATTGAGCTTTTTTTTTTGAGACAGGGTCTTGATATGTAGACCAGACTGGCTTCAAATTCTCAATACTCCTTACCTCCGCTTCTAAATTGAGCTGCTGCAGTGGAAAACACAACTAAATGAAACTAAAATTTCAACAGATGGGTTTAAGAACAGATTAGACAATTCAGAAAAGAGTGTTAGTGAACTAGAGGACAGGTCAATAGGAAATATCCAAGGCCCAGCTGGGCGCAGTGGCTCACACCTCTAATCACAACTACTCAGAAGGCACAGATCAGGAGGATCGAGGTTCAAGGCTAGCCTGGGCGACTTCATCTCAGTCAAGAAGCTGGATGAAGTCGTGCATCTGTTGTCCCAGCTCGTCGGGAGGCTATAGATAGGAAAATCTTGGTCTGAGGTCAGCCCCAAGCAAAAACACGAGACCCTACCTAAAATATAAAGAAAAAAGGGCTGGGGTTATGCTCAGGTGGTAGAGTCCCTGTCTAGCAAGCTGGGAGTCCTGAGTTTGAGCCCCAGTACCACCAAAAAAAAAAAAAAATCCAAATTCACAGAGAAAAGAAAAAGAGAACCAATAGAGAAAAAAGTACAAGGGACAGGGGCATACAGTCACAAACACCATAATTAGAGCCCCAGAAGGAGAGGACAGAAAGCAGAGAAGTAACACCTGAGGAGATAGTCCTTCACAAAGAGGTATTGCTGACCTTGTAAAACTCCCTAGCTCATCCTTTTTATTGTTTGGTTTTGTTTT